AGAAATGAGTTGGATTGACTATTGAAGATGTATACAGGAACAGAGACTAGTAAGGAGACTCAGCATATAAGTCCCCATATTGCTGCTCATAAATCATCTTTGGCTGCTACATCATCTGCTCCAACTATATCATCAGCAGCTTTAGCAGGCTCAGGAGGGCCACATGACCAGGCATCACCACATTTATCTTCCCACAAGGGTGGGTTGAGCGCTCACATACCAACATACAGAGTAGGGGTGCATTCATCCCAGCACTCAGTAGTTAAAGAGATAGACCATGATGGCCCCATGTACTTGGCTCGCCACAGTCACCCGGCAAATATTACGACACACCTTTCAAAGAGCACACCGCAGGACCTCTCCTCTCATGCCTCCACAGTTTCAGAGAAAGCAGTCCCCCTGGAATTGACTCCACATACCTCTCATCACAAACCTCTGCCTCATGTCCATTCAGTTGTAACTCAGGGTGTAAGTCATTCACAAAGTGGACCTCTCATGGCTGCCCACCAAACAGATCGGGGGTCGGCATATTTCCGTGTAGCAGATTCTGTCATAGGTGTCCAAGGGCCCTCTGCTATCTTAGTATCCACTGTTGGAGATGGTGGCCTGTCATCACAACATCATACTTCTCAAGCTCCATCTCTGGTCCACACACAGTCATCGATGGTAAGGCAGAATGCTGCCACAAACCTGACCACCATGCCACCTACAACAATGACAGCCGGAGTGTCTCTCACCACAGGCTCAAGTCCAGGAGTGGTTACAAGTCAGTCACAAGGGCAGATTATGCCAGCTGATGGTGTAACTACTTCAAATGTCTCCTCTGCATGTCTAACTTCACAGACAGATCCAAGAGAGCTGAAAAAGGAGAAATCAGAACAGATAGAAGGGATGGGAATGGCAACAGGGCAAGGAGAAGGAACGCAGCAAACAGCAGGGCCACAGCGTGACTTAGTACGGCAAGCTCTCCAGTCAGTTGTAACAAACCCCCAGCACAAAACGGGCAACGACCAAGAAGTGATTGAATATAATTATACTGCAGGTGATATTGCAGGTTGGTACTCAGTTCATAAAATATCAATAATATTTTTATATATGCCTTAAATAATGCTGTAAACCTCTCTTTGGAGTTTTTCAATTATTTTTTTCTCTTTTGTTGACAGAGCTACTGATGATGAACATACAAGTCAATGCATCACTTCAAGCAATGAAACAAGGTACTGCTCCCTCAGACAGTGGAAGCAGCCAAGTTGTAGTTCTACAGCCAGCAGCTGTTGATGAAACCACCAGCCTGCAACCTCAGCCCCAGACCACAAAGCGACGACGACCCAAGCTTTCAGAAGAGGCCCAGTCAGAAAGGAGAGTTAGAATTGCTATGAGAATGAGAGAGAAAAGAGCTGGCGAAACTGATGAAGCAAAAAAAGTACGTAGATTAAGGGAAGCTGAACGCATGAGACGGAAAAGAGCAACTGAAGACCAAGAGCATAAGGTGAAAAGACGTTTGGAAGCAGCTGCGAGAGCTAGAAGTCGGCGAGCGAATATGACAGTAGAAGAACGGGTTGTTGATAGACAAAAAGCTGCAGAGCGCATGAGATTGAGAAGAGCCACAGAAAGTGATGAGGCAAAAGCTGTGCGTCGCCTGAAAGCGGCAGAACGAATGAGGAAAAGGAGAGCAAATGAGACTCCTGAGCAACGAATGGCACGCCGTCAGAACATTGCCCAACGTACAAAAGCTCGTCGTAAGAGGAAAGGGGATGATACATTAAATGGAGAAGATTCCGACTCAGTTTCCCGCAATATAACTACTAGATTAGTTAAGAATGAAGGTTTGAACAACAGTCTGCCACACCAAGAAAACAGTGAACCTATTGCTAATGTTGCAGTAGGTCAGCCAACTCACATTTCCCAGGCTCAGCTTGTTCAAGCAGGCTCACACATAGTAGTGCCATCGAGTGTTGGAGTAGGGAGTAGTATTGCTCTGTTACATGTGGATCCAACCCTCCCTCATGTGCCTATAGGTCATGGAACTACAGGCATGCTTTCAACAGTGGACCTGACTCAGCTGACTCAACCTCTCTCTCTGCACAAGTCTGTTACTTCAACTGAGGGACAAGTAAGTGTGATGGCTATGAGCAGTTGATAACATATGTCTTTTAATTTTCCAAGTGTCTGGATGAAAAAATTAAAGAAATTAGATGGTACTTTGGTAGTTGATGGGAAATAAGATGGTTTGTTCAGTTGTAACTTGTATTAGCATCCTTGTGTATGGTGGATAATGAGCATTAATAGATTTAGGAGGTAGCACAGTATTCTTAGTGATTATTTTGCTGTATGTTGTCTAAATGTACTTTTTGTTTCTAATGTAGGAGAAACATGACTACTTTGGTAATCATGTGTGGGATGTGAAGAATGCTAAGGGGCTGGAGTTATAGGCATTATATATGGAATCTATTTTTAGGGAATGTAATACAGTTTGAAAGCATTTTGTTAGTCCTGATGTGGAAGAAAAATATATGATGCACTTTTATTGGACAGTGTTATGATTACTCTTGCTTATAAGCAGCTAATTGCTATTGTAGGCACCAGAAGTTAAAAGCATGGGAAGAATGTTTAGATAATTTAGGAAAGTCATCAACAGTGGAAGAAAGATTATACCTATATGTGGTTTCCTAGATGCTTTATTTATTGAGAGACAGATTTTGTTATTTATCAAAATTGGATGGGATTCACTGAACTTCAGCTGCTTATGAAAATACTTGCCTAGATTTTAGGACATAGGCATTGTAAAACCACATCTTGTGATTTTAAAAAGCATGGAGTTTCTCATCAAGATTCATTCTTGATTTCAGGAGATATCAGAGCCACTATCCTTACAGAAGCACATAGTGACTCAAGTGTCCTCACCAGCTGCCACTCCAACACCCGTCTCAGCCCCCATGAGCATGAGTACCCCTGCACATCCCTTGGAACCAATATCCCTCCACAAGACTGTCAGTCACCATCACCATCATCACTTGCCTCACCTCCTCCACTATCATCAGCACACTAGTTCACACCCACAACAACAGCAGCAACAGCAGCAGCAGCAACAGCAGCCACAGCAGCAGCAGCACCCACATCAGCTGCAGCATCAACACCTTCAACAGAGACACCATCAGTGAAATGTGAGATAGTCTCATTTCTTAGATGAGCTGTATACATGTGCTCTACAGGGATTGAAGGGCTCAAACAACAGTATTGAATTAATTAATGACTGAAATTATGCTGTTACATCAAGGACTTTGCATTACGTATTAATGTAGAATGAGAGTGCATTTCAGCTCTGTATGGCATGTATTCAGTATATTGAACTGTTTTCCTCATGCAGTTCTTATTTAATGAGTAAGACTGCTGTAAAAGACACTGTACTGGTCAAATTGTGCTTGTGGCTTGTGGTGGCCAATTTGCATTAGACTTAAATAATAATGATAATAATTCCAAGTCCAATTATGCAACAATCACATTCTCATCTTTAAACACAGAGGGTAATGCACTTGCTAGTCTCACAGAAGTTTATTAGTGTTATTATATTGCATATGTATTTTTGTTTTTGTTTTTTAAGGGTCCGGTTCACTCTTAATATGCATTATAAATGAGAAGTAGAACATAAAAAAAATATTGGAATATAGTTATATAGAAAGCATGAAATGGACCATGCTGTATGTTAGACATAAATTAATTAATGAGTACATAAAAAATATAATTTAAAAATATATTTAATCAGACTTTTTCCAGGATTTGTTTTTGAGTTATAGAAATGAACAAAGTTCATTGTGGCAAATGTGGAGAAGCTATGAATAAAAGACAATAACTTCACAAACTAAGAGACATAACTAATATATTATAATATTACTTTGAACCAACACCATCTACCAGCTTAAAAGCCATTGGGTGTGGTTTGGAAAGAATCGGGCATGAAATAAATAAGAAATAGTGTTATCTAGATATCACTGCTGTAAACTGTGCAAGCAACTAACGACAAATCTTGACCATTTAATGTTGTTTTAGTAATTCTTAGTCTTGTTTGAGATTGTAATTTGGTTAAAGATCTACATTACACAACATTAGTTATTTCTCTTTCTTTGTGAAGTGATTATTTTTCATATAGGCTTTTCTGTATTAAAGCACATTTCTTTACTGGAAGTAAAATAAGATTCAGGAGATTTCAGTTTTCTTGAACTTTTAGCACAGAATTATCAGTTATCTTGTTATATATATATATATATATATATATATATATATATATATATATATATATATATATATATATATATATGTGTTGTGGAAAAGAATCGGGCCATGAAATAACTAGAAATAGTGTTATCTAGATATCACTGCTGTAAACGTTGCAAGCAACTAACGACAAATCTGACCATTTAATGTTGTTTTAGTAATTCTTTAGTCTTGTTTGAGATTGTAATTTGGTTAAAGATCTACATTACACAACATTAGTTATTTCTCTTTCTTTGTGAAGTGATTATTTTTCATATAGGCTTTTCTGTATTAAAGCACATTTCTTTACTGGAAGTAAAATAAGATTCAGGAGATTTCAGTTTTCTTGAACTTTTAGCACAGAATTATCAGTTATCTGTTTTATATATATTATATATATATATATATATATATATATATATATATATATATATATATATATATATATATATATATATATATATATTATATTATATAATATAGAATTATAGAATTATATGTTTTTTTAATTATTATTTTTTTTTGACAATATAGAAATTTTAGAAGATAATTGTTACAAATGTGAAACATATGCCATATGATATCACTGAAGTAAATGACACAATTGTTCTTATTCTGCACTGATGATAACATTTGCATTACAACAAAACTCAGGCATGCTGCTGCCGTCTTGGGAAGAGATAGGAGTTAATTTACCTTTGTGTTTGTCTTGTTTCAGTCACATTGGATAATGTCGTATTTTAAAAGCTATTGATAGTTTTTTATGTTAAAGAATGGAATCTCTTTAAAAATGGTTAAAACCAGAATCCAGCCAGATATTCCTACTGTTAGGAAAAAGCTTTTCTGTTGTTTATAGGTAGCTATGAAGTGTTGACTTTTAAAAGTATACCTTTTATTGTTCAAAAAAATCTTTTGTTATTATTATTTTTTTTATAGAGCTTATCTCTGTTAACAACAAAGAAAGATGTGCTTTCTTGTTCATATCTGTAGATATGTAAATAGTTTTATATTTTTGCATTATGTATAAATAATTTACTGGTAAGAGTAGTCACAAATAATACTATATCCATAGATACCTTCATAGTAGATTTCTGTAAAAAGGAGTAGTGACAAATTTACAAGACATAATATGAATATTTTATTATCCTTGATTGTAGTATACATAATTTGTATTACAGCTTTTATCAATAAGAATAACCAGCACTTAAGTCTAGATTCTGGTAATCCTCACTAATATATCTAAAAATATTTCAAAAAATAAAATTCTATCACTGATACGTCTGCCCTACTTGCTTCATTCCACAGGAGATCATGAGGTGAGACATTTTAAATACCAGTTATATTTTTATACCTAATTTATTTGCACTTTCAGACAATGTGTTAAAACTGGAACACAAAAAATTGGAAGGAATTTTGTAAACACTTATAAATGCAGCATCGGGGGGCTTTGTTGGGGGGGTATGGGAGGGGCGATGGGGCGTGTAAACATAAATGAATAGTATTAACAATATGGATGTGGAAGGTAGTCTAGGGGGTATCTTTTTATCTCTTCAACATGGAATAGACTATCCACTCTCAGAATGATTTCTGCTCTAACTAAAGATGGTGACCTCTTGGAAGGCCAAAAATTGGAATAGAAAGAGAAAGAGAGAGAGAGAGAGAAATATGGGATGTTGAACCTTTGGGAGATGAAGTAACTGTACTATAAAAAAAGAAAAAAAAAAAAAAAAAAAAAAAAAAGATCTAGAAGCATTCACATCAGTATAACTGCTATCATCTACTTTATGTGAATCAATAAGAGGGATCTTAATAGGATCATGATAAAATGAAACTACAATCAATATTGTTAATTCCATTACAGCAAATATTATGTCAGCAAAACCTGTTTGCTACTTTCTGAGAACTTGGTATAATACATAGCAACATTTTTTTAAAAATGATAAAAAATACATAGAACGTTAAAATAAATGTCTTAACAAAATCATGAGAGCCTGGAATATAAATATATTTCTTCTTTCAATCCAGTAGATATTTTAAAGAAAAAAAAAAAAAGTTTTCTACAACTATTTGGTCTTTTTTAAGCCTCCAAAAGCATCTATTGTAGCTTTTGTTCCTGATGGCACTGAAGTGAGCGTTGGAGGAGCAACCATAGGTTTGAGGATGTTGGTCGAGGGTCCTCCTTGGTCGAAACGCGATTTTCTTTTCTTGGCTTCCTCCTCTTGGGGTTTCTTGGTACCTGAGATTATGTCCACCTGTAGGTAAAATGTGTAGATGAGTTGGTTGAATAAAACTGAAACAATTGCTTGGACATAATTCTTTAGAATAGTCATAGTACTTAGTTTAATGTATAATATCATAAATCTGATCAACTTATTATAAATACATTAGGTAAAAAAAAAAAAACATATCACTTATGAACATTTAAAAATGGCAAAAACCCAAGCTCTCTCCTCATGTTCCTGTGTGACGTTTGTTACTGTTTTCACAATAATACACAATTTGATGAAAAATTAACCCATTTACCCTGGGTGTCACGCATATGTGACATGCCTACTGTGAGTTTACTTGTTTAATTGTTTTTACGCATAGATGGCTACACTTGTACTTATAATGCCTGTCTTGCCTGTTTACCCTTTTCTTTAATTTACGAAAATATTTTACTTTATCTTATTTTGCTGTTACTAATGTTTATAACATTATAGTAATTATAATGTTTATAATAAAAATAACCATCAATATTCATAGAACTAGTAAAAATACATTTTCCCGCCAATTCTAGTAAAGGTGAAATCAGGTAAGGCAGAGTCATCTAGTGTAGAGACATTTCACAAAAAAAAATATTAAAAATGAGCACAACATTTTCCCCATTGTTTGTTCATTTTTACTCGTCACAAATGGGTTACCACTACAAGCAAAACAAAAGTTAAAAATTTATTCTTGTCCTACTTCAAATAAATAAGCTTTGTTATCTTATAAATAATATACAGCGGTACAAGTCTTTGTCAAAGTTCTAACAAGGCAAAGGGCATTATACTAACCCTATGTCTAAGAAAACGCTTAAACAGTTACTTTACTTATTACCAAAGACACAGGAAATACTCTGACATTTATTTTTCAATATCTTTCTTATACACGATTCTCTTATTCTACAAAAAAAAATCTTACTCACCTTTGTCTTGTCTTTTCGCTCCTTTTCTCTTCTGTCCATTTCTTCTTTCTGTACGCGTGCTATTTCATCATAATAGGACTCCTTCCCCCAACAATGCGGATCAAACATATCCTGAAAAGTAATACAAAGAAATACATAAATAATTTTACATATCATTTAATCTTAATAATAATAATAATAATAATAATAATAATAATAATAATAAAAACAAAAACAGCTATATAAAAACTTTGCATGTGGAATGTAAATCGTCCAAACACACACACACATATATATATATATATATATATATATATATATATATATATATATATATATATATATATATATATACACACATATATATATATATATATTTTTTTTTTACATGATGGCTGTAGTAAGTAAAAAAGAAATGTAATAGCTTTTGCTCCATTTTTAAAATCAAATTTGATATTTGTATCTGCTTCAAGGTTCACATTGACAGACAGGCAAACACACACACACACACAAAAGGCAATTACAACTTAAAAAATTCACTTACTAGTAAAATGTGTTCCATAAGCATTTTTATATCAATAATCTAATGGTCACTGTAATACCTTTCTTTGTCTCTACTTTTTTTTGTTTTTATTTTTCCCCAAGTGAACCATATACCCAAAGTTCCTACAAAGATGAGTAGCACCATTCTGTCTTGCTGAAAATGCCAAGCTAAGTTCCATCCACTAGTCACCATTTACTGTAGATATTATATTTACCTATATTTTTTTTTCTTACACTGTGATAAAGAGGGCTGAGCTCAATAACACTACTATGTTTTTTTTTTAGCAAATGACCATGCATTGTCAGATACATGAAATGGCTAGATAAAGAATTATCTGTATAATATCATCAATTATTATAATTATTAGAAGTAAAAAGATTTCACTTTTATTATTCTGACATCTGCCAGAAGACTCTTAGGAAAAAGTCAATATCAGGCTAAATGGAAGTGGGGATACCTATGCCATAAATACCTTGCATACACCATGAATGCAAAAACTAAATGTCTAGCTTAATTTCACCTTAATCCCAAGTCTGTTGTTACAGTGGGGAGGGTATAGAAGAGACAGACAGGCCCAATGTTGAGGATCACCCCTACCTTGGACCTTAGTCCTTAGCTCAACCAATTTTGCATGGTCCTTTCTTCTCCAATTTTCCTTTTCCTGTTCTTCTTCAATCCCTCCCTCCTGTACACTTCCTAAGGTGTAAGAACTGAGTTGAAAAGGCAAAAAGCTGGCTTTGTGTCAGTCCTAAATAGCTTTGAGAAACCATGGGCATTGTATTCCTTTGATTAATTGTCTAGCTCTTGCCCCTAATGGATAGATCATTTCTCTTCCTGGCCAATAATGCCCCTAATGGATAGATCATTTCTCTTCCTGGCCAATAATAAAGATTTTATACCCTTATTTGGGGCATTAAGGCTGAGTCCCAAGCTCATTCATTTCAACCCAGACTGATCTCACTGATAAACCTATTCCTGCCCAGCCTCACTCCTCCCTTAACCCCTTGGTGCCAGGTGACGCCGATCGGCGTGTAAACAAAGCGCTCGAAAGCTGGCGTGCAGCTGAACGAGCCGGCGGCGCGCCAAAGCGCAGCGAGCCAGTGATTCGGGCTGATGTCCCCTACTCACATGCTCAAAGTCGGCGCGCCGCCTTTGTTTGTTTAAGCGTAGTTTTTTTTTTTTGTTTTGTACACCCGGCGCCATTGGGTTAATACCAGAAATGTTACCATCTCCCCTGATGATTGCCCTGTCTACAACAAGGATTGGGCAGACTGAAAACAACCTACTTGTCTGCCTCATTGACTATGATGCAGGAGCAGTACAATGCAACACCATTCCTTCCAGAAGCTGCTTTAACCCTTAGATGGCAGTATTAGAAATCTCTTGGCATCATAGACTCTGGTGATTTCTGGCTGCCATTTGGAGCAGGAGTTTGCTACATGTATTGGAACTTCCCGCTTGATGGGCTCTAGCACGTTGCCATGTGTATAGCTGTACCCAGCAGATCAAGCGGTTTGTTATGATGGCTATACACATGGTCTATATTGCTAAGAACATCTTCCGTAGACATTTTTTTGCTACCTTTTCCAACACTGTCCTTTGCTCTGCTGCTCTCCCTTCTTCCCAAGATGTCTCAGCATCTCCCCAGTATCTCTTTCCCTTAATGTTTACTCTCCTAGTTCTACTCCCTCTCTCCCAATCAAATTCTTTTCCCATTTTAAATCCAGATACTCCAATCTCTTCCCTGATACCTACTCCACCTTCTTACTTTACCTGTCGTACCGGGTAATTTGAATGTTCCACCCCATCTTCTACACCCACCTCTTCCTCTGCTCCTCAGACATCTGTCTTCTCTTTTCTTTCTCATAAGAAAACCTTCCATCTCTCAGACCTGTCCACCTAACTCCCCTCCGGAAACTCTTGAGGACATCCGAATCTTCTTAAACATGACCCATGAGAATGCTCCTCTCTCTCATCCACCCTCCAATCTCTTCACTCCCATTCCCTCTATATTCAAAGTAAGTCCCAACATCTATCCTCCTCCTCATGTTCCCCCTACCCTTCTTGCTCTCACTCTCTCCCAACAAATCTCATCCTCTCCTTCTCCATCTGCAGCATCCCCTCTTTGCCCAATATCCTTACCGCCCTCTGGATGCTCATATGACTCCCTTTTGTCACAATAGTATCCTTCTCTAGACCTTTTCCCCTCCTTCTCTGTTCTTTTGTTTCATTCCCTGGGTTCTTCTCCCATCTCTACCCTTATTACCCACTGATTGCTTCACAATGGTTCTTCTGCACTGTTTCTCATGCAACGTTCCTCTTCCTTCCTCAGACACTTACATACTCTCCATTTGATCTAATCACCTTTTGCCCTTTTACTAATCCTCACATTACTCCATTTGCTCCTGCTCTCTATCTTTTTTTCACTACCTACTATCCTGCAGTACTCTACAACCTTTGACATCTAACACATTTTGTCCTAATCATTAACTCAATTTTACCCTTTCTGCTATGATATTTTACCTAAATGCTATATGACCTATGAAATTTGTTTTAGCCATTAACCTTTACAATTTTTTTTAGTAGACTTCTTTCCCATAAAACACCACTAATCAATGCAAAATTTTACCAATCACTGATATTCCTTTAATTCCTTGAAAATACCTCTCTGACTGAAAATTATAAATTGAAAAAATGAATAAAAAGATATACTACATAAAGTATATCTTCTGATTCATTTAACAATTTCTTCAATAAATGAGAGATGGTATACATATGAAACTACTACAGGGAGAAAGTAAGTAGGAAAAAGGGGGAAATCTGTTACCCACACATTAAAACTAAGATTTCTAGCTTGAAACATCCTTCCAAGCCCTTCTTTTCTAACTTGCATTCCATTGCATCTAATACATGAGGCTTTATATATATCCAGTCTATGTATGGGGCAATACAATAATATCCACAAAGAATCAAGAGCTCTTTCAAATATGTGCAATAAAATAGATTATAAGGAAATGCAAACATGTTAACCCAATGGCTCTGGGTGTACAAAAGAAAAAAAAAACTCTACACTTAAACAAACAAAGGCGGCGCGCCGACTTTGAGCGCGTGAGTAGGGGACATCAGCCCGAATCACTGGCTCGCCGCGCTTTGGCGCGCCGCCGGCTCGTTCGGCTGCACGCCAGCTTTCGAGCTCTTTGTTTACACGCCGATCGGCGTCACCCGGCACCAAGGGGTTAAATGCAAATGCAGTGGATACATGTTATAAATGCAACACTTAACCCATTCCCGCCGGGCATGCCATGCCATGCCCACTGTGAGATTACAAGTTAGATTGTTTTCACACATAGATGGCTACACTTGTACTAAATCACCAATGAGCCAGTTACGAGTACCGCCTGTCTCGCCCGTTCACCCTTTTCTTTGATTTATGAAATATTTTACGTTATCTTATTTTGCTGTTACTAATGTTAAAAAACATTATAAAAATTATAATGTTTATGATAAAAAATAACACCATTGATATTCATGGCACTAGTGAAAAATACGTTTTTCCTGCCATTTCAAATCAGGCGCTAACAGAGCCATCTATGGGCAGACATTTAACAAAAAAATATAGAAAATAGGCACAGTATTTTCCCCGGCGGCAATGGGTTAAAATAATGTCTAGTAAACTGATCAGAGAAAAAAATAATTGTGTTGGATCTGAGGAAATCTTTAGATTTTTCTTTGCCTATGTGAAAATGAATGAGACAAAAGAAAACTGACGACAGTGAAGAAGAAGAAGAAGATAAAGAAGAGAGAGAAAAGAGGAAAAAAGGGAAAAAAAAAGAAGAATTAGAAGACATTGTTAAGTATTACAAAAGAGAATGGCTAATACTAATCAGCAATGGACGGCAATGTCTCTATAAAGTTCTAAATACTGACTGCAGTGATATCAAACCTAAGTAATGGAACCAATGAGGAGCTGAAGCAAGAAGACATTACTAAAGACAGGAATACAGGCAAACACATTTATTATTCAGAAGATAATCGCAGAAAAAGAAAGGAAGGAAAGACAGACAGACAGATACACACGCACACACAAAAAAAAAGGTAGTAGGAAAATAAGCAATAAAAGTGAAAAGGTGCAAAAACTATATTAAAAAACAGAAAAGAAAACAACAGAGAAGGGTAATAAAAACCTGTAATAAAAACAGCTAAATATTATACACAGAATAAGCCAAGTATCCAAAACAAATGCCTAACAGCCACCAGCAAATACAAAATGTAGAATGAAATAAAGGAAGGCCTAAAGACATCTGTTCTTACCAGTGGATAATTTGTTCCCATCTCGTCAAGCTGCAGGAGATCAATAAGCTTCTCGTAAATGCCGGGATTGCGAAACTCCTTGTTATTCTGGATCATCATGTTGTAGTCCTTGTTGCCGCGGCGGACTTCGTTCAGGAACCTCTGCACCTTTTCCTGATAACATGCGGGAAGACGGGATGTATAATCAGTGTGTAAACATTATTTGGGGATGTGTCAGATTGTAAGGTGGAATTAGAACCATAAAAA